TTTTTGCGGGCCCGGGCTCCCGGGGGGGGGGGGGGGTGGAGGTACATGTACAAGAGGTTGTGCGTTGTGTCTTCAACGACACCGACCTAGTGTTGTTCGTGGAGAACGTTTTTATGGCCAACATCGCACAGCAGCGGGGGGTTTCTCGCTACATCGATCTTCGAGAAAGACTGACTATTTCGGCCTCTTGGCCCAGGTCAGAGATTTTGATTGGCCTTTGGGAGAGAGGGGCGGGTGGGTGGGTGGTGGCGTCGAATACGGACAAACTGTCGCGGTTACGTAAGGAAGCCCGAAATACTGCTGTTTCCTTCACGACTCTAGGTATAATTGTATAATAGGTATTTGTGTTCAGCGGCTCTGTGTTTCGGGGAAGGCTGCGCAGTTCGTGCCTGTGCCTTTCGCCGCCGCATTGCACGGGGGCTTGAAGGCAAGAGCATTGGACGCTTACAGTAGAACGGCACGCCTCTTCTGACGTTGAAACCCGCCAGGCTAAACGGATAACCGCGATCAGAACCGCGCTATCTACTGCTTCTTGCTACGATCAAACCCTGCTGTTGCTGCTGCTGCTGCTGCTGCTGCTGCTGCTGCTGCTGCTGCTGCTGCTGCTGCTGCTACCGTCGCCTCCCGTCGGGGACACACACACGTTTGGCATGCGTATAGGACTGATGGGCGACACGAGCTTCGCGAAGGGGATGCTCGAGATGCAGCGACACATCCCGCTCTTCGGCGTGGAGCTCGGCCCAGAAACGTATAGCCCGGTCACGCTGAGCCTGTGCGCCTCTGGAGGGGCGATAAGGCAAGAAGTCATCAGAAGTTTTGGATGACCTGAAAAATCGGCAACGGGCAGGCCGAACGGTATACATTGGGCATTGGAAAAGCTAGCAAGGTCTCTGCACGAGACGTGCTCCCAGTACCCGCTTGTTTTGGCGTCGAATCGTTTACTTTTCCTAGATTTGGCGTTGAAACCTTTCGCCATCGAGGAGCAAGTACTTAAATATTGCGATTTTCACAGAACAAGAGACGTTTCTTCTACTCGACTTCCATCTCAAACGAGCATCGCATTCAGTTGACTTGGGCGAGACCTAATTGGCGACCAGTCTTGTCGTTGTTGTTGGTCCGAGGTTTGAGAACAGAAAGTCGGGCTCAAGAAGGCTTTTCTCCTATTCATCACGACACCGCACACAGCACACGACATGCCCTCTTGAGGCCGGTCTCGTGCATCGTGGTCGCTGTCGTGTGCTCGACTCACGACCGTGCCCAACGATCGTTTTCGAGAGCGCCGTACGCCCGTGTTTTCCCCGTCGTGGCCTGTTAGTCTCCCCCCCCCCCCCCCCCAACAAAACCCCCATTTTTTCTCCTTTCCCC